GCACCGCCGCCGCTCTCCTGCCGCCAGCCTCTCCCCAGCTTCCGCCGCGGGCGGGACGCGCCGAACCCCCGACACGAAGATCCTCCTCCTCGCAATCGCTCGGACGTCCATTCCCTGTGCTTTCTTCGGTTTCGTGCGTGGCTTTCTCGCGAAATGATCAAGGATGCTCCTCGATGGCCCTCGCCGAAGGAACAATGCACACGTCCGAGCGATGCCAAGCGACACGAGGATCCTCCTCTGGCCGGCTCGCCAGAGACCCGACGGCTCCGGCAGCAGTCGGGAGCGGCCAAGAGGGGGGTGTCCAAGAGGGGGGGGTGCAAATCATGACCGGCGGCATGTGCGCGGCCCAGCGGGGGTGCCAGGGACGTAATGAAATAAGAAGAGGCGCCATGAAATCTGGGGAAATATCATGGCCCACGCCATGATATCCACCCCCCCCTAGTCATCACCCCCCTCTTTTCCGCCCCCGAAGCAGGGGCCGCACGCTCTGCCGGGCCGCCGACGCCGCCGCGGCGCCGATGGCCCCTGCAGCGCGCTCGCGCACGGACGCGCGGCCGAGCAGAGGCGGGGGAGCCCGGGGCCTCCCCCTCGAGAGGGACCCCCCCAAAAGGCCTCTCCTCGAGCGCGCCGCCGCCCGGGATGCTCGAGGCGAGCCCCGCCGTGGCGACGAGGGCACGCCCCAGGAGCCCACGAGCACGAGCACGCACCTCTGGCCATCGCTCGGACGTCCATTCCCTGCGCTCTTTTGTTCGGCTTCGCGCGTGTTTTCTTCGCAAGAGGATCCAGGATGCTCCTTGAGAATCCCCGCCGAGAAGAAGTGCACACGTCCGAGCGGTACCAAGACCTGGGCCCCCCCCCCCAGCAGACGCAGGGGGCCACCCCCTCCAGCTCCTCGTCTGGCACCGGCGGCGCCGTCGCGTGGCGGCCCTCCCAGCCCTCCTGGCGGACGGAGCGCCGCCGCCGCCGCCGCGCCACTGCCGTCGACACCCTCCTGCACACCGTGCCGAGTTCCGCCGCCGCCGCCGCCCTCCGCCCTTCCCCCCCTGCTTATTATGTGTAAGCCTTGCTCGACTGTGACGAGTTGCCCGAAGGACAAAATCTCCACCCCCCTTCCCTTGAGGCCACCTATGTGGTGTCCGAGTGGATGGGGCTGGAGGTCCGCACCGCATCACCGATGCATCGCGCCGATGTCGGCCATGCATCGGAGCTGGCGGGGTGGGGGAAATCGGACTCCACGTGCAGCCGCATCACAGGTGCATCGGCGATGCGGCGCGGCCCTCCGAAACCCCACCTGCTCGGGACCCGGTTGGGAGGCCAGGCCCTCCCTCCCCTCGCCTTGGGGCGCAGTTGCATGGCAAGGAGCGTGCACCTGTCGTGCACCTCGTCGGCCGCAAGGGCTCCGTTTGGGAGACTCCGGAGCCCCGAAGGTGCACAGAAGGCGCACGGTTCTTCACCCTATCAGCGGTCGCCGCCCCCCCATTGCGCAACGGCCCAGCGTGGCGGCGGCGAGCGGCTGCGAGCGACGACGAGCGACGACGAGCGACGACGAGGACAGGACGGCGGCTACGCGCGGCGGGCGGCGGCGGGCGGCGGCGAGAGCGGCGGCGAGCGACGACGAGGGACGACGAGGACGACGAGGACAGGACGGCGGCTGCGCGAGGTGCCGAGGCCCCGCCAACGCGTGCAGCGGGGGCTGAGCTGCCCTGCCGCCCCCGACGCCGGAGGGCTTTCGGGCACGCCAGCCGACCGCGATTACGAAGCAAAGCACCCTTCGGGGATGGACAGACCTCCCTTTAACGTGGTTTAGTGAAAACGACCTCGGGCCCAAACCTGGCGGTCGCAAGCCTGGAAAATAACGGCCGCGGCGCCCCCTCGAGAACCGAAAACGGACAATTCACTAATCGACGTGTAATTGTTGGGGGTTCTGTCCACCCCCGAACCCTAGGGCGTGGCCGTCCGGACCGAAACTGCAGTCAGCACTGGGGCGATCGCACGGTCCCCAAGACGATCTGTGAGGACGTCTCGGACGAGACGGCTGCCGGACTGGGTGTCCTCGGGTTCCCTGTCCCCCCTGTGGGACTCATCTGTGGCCCTGGTCAGTCTTGCTTCATGCCTAAATCTGAACATTCTAGCGACATGTGATTAAGGGAATCATTCGAAACCTATGGGCACTCAATATGTTTTGTCTCTTGAGACTCTCTTGAGGGTCCTCATTTCGGCATCCTGGGGGCGTCGCGGGCCGTCCTCAGGCCATATTGGGCGCTCCTGAGGCCACTCCAATGTGGTCCTGCGCTGCCTCTTTTGGACGGCATAGGCGCTCGATATCAAGGCGGGCCTGACAAGCCGCGCGCGGGCCCTGCCCAGCGCTTGCCCACCGCGCCGATCGCGCCGTAGGCTAAGCGCTAAGCGGCACCTGGCCCTGTGGGTGGGCCTTTTTCCCGAACCCTCTAGCGGAACGCCAGCAGGGAACATGCGACCAACGGGGCGAGCCGCCCGCAGCAACGAGCACGCCGCCCGCACGCTCGCCCTCGGTGGAGCCCCCTGTGGGGTCACGAAGCGTGTGAGGGGCGTGCCGAAACGTGACTGGTGCGGAGGGCAGGGGCAGGGATGGGCGGAGGGAGGAGTTGAGCAGGGACCGACCGTCCTGGTATTCCTATAGGCCTACAACGACATGTTCCTAGAATCCAAAAACGTTCTAAGAGCAAAAACAAGGTTCTTAGAACACCTTCCCGATTTGTTAAAACAAGACAGTCCCAGCCAGACATGCTCTAAGAACATGTTGTGGAAACCACAAAAAGTTCCCAGAGCATTGCTTGGTAGGCCTATAGGCACGCCGGGACGCTTCGCCACTGCTTGAAGGAGGGCAACCAGGGGGGGAGGAGTGACGCGGTGCGCGGCCTCTTCTCAGGCCGGGCGAAAGGGGGGGATCGCAAAGAAAGGGGTTGAGAATCGGCTCACGCAGCCGATTTTCCCAGCATGGGCCCCTCGGTGAGGCCGAAACCAGCTGCATGCAGCAACTTTCGTAGCCCCCCCCCCTTCCCCCCCCTTCGTCCGGCCCGATCTTCAGACCGAGGGCCCCGCACCACAGCATGGCTGGGAGCACAGGCGCCGGCCCCCCTCGCGCGCGCGCCCTCCCCGACGGGCGGCCGCCGTCCTCGGCGGCCGCGTGCTCGGCAGGCCGCCGGCCCGCGCGCCCGCTCCTGCGGCAGGGGGGGGAACGCTTCGTCTTCCTCCTCCTCCTCCTCCTCCTCCTCCTCCTGCTCCTCTCTCCTCCTCCTCCTCCTCCTCCTCCTCCTCTCATCCTCTTCTCCTCTCCTCCTCCACCTCCTTCTGCTCCTCCTCCTCCTCCTCCTCCTCCTCCTCCTCCTCCTCGTTCTCTTCATCCTCCTTCTGCTCCTCCTCCTCCTCCACCCGGCAAGTGGCAGCGGTGGCCGGCCGCCGCCGCCAACCGGCCGCAGCTGGGGGAGCCGCGCTCCTCAACTGCCCCCCTGGCCCATCGTATCGGCGAGACTCTCGAGGGGGGTGCCGAGGCCGATGGGTCCCCCCGGCGGGGGGGCATGGACCACAGCTCCCCCGGTCGCGGCTCGTCTGCCTCGTGGCCGTCGTCGCGGCAGCGCTCCCCTCGTCGCCGCGGTCGTCCCCCACAGGCGCGCGTGGGCCCGCGGGCTCCGTGGCCGCGCGGGTGCGTGTGGGGTTACCCTCCGGACACCCTGGGCGGCGTGTGGGCCAACTCGCGCCTTCGGCCGCCGCACGAGCGGACTCTCGGGCGCCTTCTGGAGCCATGCGGGGGGCGCTCCCGGCACTCTGGGGGCCCTCCGTGGAGGTCTTGGGGGGGTCTCTTCGGTCGTTCCGGGGCGGGCACGGCCCTGCAGCACAGATGGGCACGACTTGCGAGAGAAGGAAAAGGATACAGAGGGGGATGCGGACAGGACACACCAAGCTGACGACCAATGCCTCCGTTTCAGCGGCTTCCAACAGAAGGTTCGGAGTGGTCCTGGGGACCCATCGCAAGCGATGCGGCGCCACGAGGAACCAGACATGGACGCGGCCTGCATCATGCACCGATCGGGTGCCGCAGGGTGGGGCCGAAGCGCCGAGAAAGTTCGGACTCCCACAGCGATGTTGAAACAATGCGCTCGACACGAAGAGCCAGGAAGGATACACAGGAAAAGGCAGGACGGATGTCCTATCGGTAGGCAGGCCGGGCGGGGGCCAGGAGGAGCGAGGAGCCAGGACGAGAGGACTGGGGCGACCAGGGCGTCAACGATGGTGTTACGACGACGACGTCACGGCGTCACGACCACGACGACGACGTCACGACGACGACGTCGGCGGCGGCGACGTCACGACGCGTCGGCGACGTCACGATTTCGACACGACTGCGTCACGACAACAATTACGTCACGACGACGACGACGACGAGGTCACGACGACGGCGGCAACGGCGTTGCTGCCGCCGGCAACGCGGCGACGAAGGAAGGCTCCCGCGAGCGCCCCGGCCGCGCGGCGGCCACTTGCCACCGCTGGGCTGCTGGGGCTCGTCCTCCAGGTCCGCGCCTGGCGCGCGAGAGGTCTTTCCTCCCCCGAAGCACAGCGGCGTCCAGGAGTCCATGTCTACCAGTAGCAGCGCGTGGACAGAGAAAGTCTCGCCTTCAACATTACCAAGCCGATCTGCCTTCCTGGGACAGGGATGGAACCTGAGAGAACGAGGGTGGTTCCTCCTCCCTCCTCCTCTGTTGACTGTACATGCTAATCTGTAGCCCCTTGGTCCAAGTAAAAACCATCAACATGGTAGCGGAGCGGCGTGGGTTCGTTCCCGCCGCCGCTTCCCTTCCAGCCACCCGCGGCGCGCGCGCGCGCCAGCAATAGGGCAGCGGCGAGGGCCGCGCCCTGGCGGCTGGCAGCGGCGGGGGCCGCGCCAGCCGGCCCTTCTCAGCCCAGCACGCCGCCGAAGAAGAAGAAGACGAAGCGAGGCTCAAGGTCGAACAAGGCAGACATCCTGAGGAGCAGGAAGTTCGACGAGAAGCTCGATCTGAAGTATGGAGGAGATCGAGCGACGCTTCCAGGCGCTCGAGGGAGCGTTGCAGGCTGCCGAACAACGGGTGCAGGCTGCAGAGGAGCGCGCCCTGGCGGCGGAGTCAGCAGCAGCGAGCGCAGGCGCCGCCGCGAGCAGGCCCGTGGCAGCGGCGAGGGCCGCGCCACAGGATCTGGTGGACACTCGGCTTCTAGCGAAGCCGAAGGCGTTCGGAGGCAGCGAGGACGAGTGGCCAGGGTGGAGCTTCAAGATGCTCGCGTACCTCGGGGCCCTCGACGAGCAGATGGCCAACGAACTGACAGCAGCCATGACGTTCCCGCTGGAAGAGGTGAGGAACGCGAGGCTCCTGGAGGAGGGAGCGAGTCAGCGCAGTCGCCAGCTGTACTTCATCCTCGTCCTGCTGCTGGAAGGAGCCGCACTGCAGCTCATCAAGCCGGTCGGCGTCGGAGAAGGGTATCGGGCGTGGAGGACACTGCAAGACATGTACGAGCCCGACAGACCCGGTCGCCATGCAGGACTGCTGCAGGAGCTGATCGCGTTCCAGTTCCCAGAGGACAACATCGTGGGGATGCTGGCGGACTTCGACTTCAAGGTCACGAAGTACGAGAGCCAGAGCCACGAGAGGATTGGGGACAGGATCAAGATGGCGATCCTCCAGCGGGGGATTCAGGACGAAGCTCTTCGAGCGCACCTGGTCCACAACGCGTCGAGGCTAGTCACGTGGGAGCTCATGCGCAACGAGGTGCACATGGTGATCTCGACGAGGAGCGCCATCTCAGCAGTGCCGCCACCAGTTCCGATGGACACGAGCGCGGTGGAGAAGGCGAGGCGCGAGCGCGACAAGGGCAAAGGAAAGAAGGGCAAGGAAGGCAAAGGCAGGAAGGGCAAGGGCGGCGACAACTCCACGGACCAGAGGAGCCAGGCGGCCAAGGACAGGGCCGAGAAACGGTGCTTCCACTGCCACAAGACCGGTCACGTCAAGAGCGAGTGCAGGAAGTTCCTCGCAGAGCAGAAGAAGAAGAAGGGCACCAACGCGGTCGAGCAGGAGTCGAAGCCGACGGGAGCTCCACCAGCGGCGAGCGCCGCGGGGAGCGCGGCACCGGTGATGGCGATCGCGACCGAAAGCGGGGCAGAGCCACTGTGGTGCCTCGCGATCGAGCTGGAAGAAGGGCAAGAGTCGTTATCGAGTGGAGCAGCAGCGACGCCCTCAGCACCAGCGACGACAGCGATCCACCTTCGTTCGAGCGGGCCGTCAAACGAGCACGCGCAGCAGAGGCAGCCATTCTTGGTCGGTGCCAGCCCGACCGAGCAGCTGAGCCAGCCAGAGGCAGCAAACGAGCACGAGCAGCCGAGGCAGCCATTCTTGGTCGGGGCCAGCCCGATCGAGCAGCTGAGCCAGCCAGGGGCAGCAGACGAGCACGAGACGTTCGAGAACAAGGAGATCATCGGTATCAATGAGCACTGGGTCATGGTGGATTCGGGTGCTGCGCGATCGGTGTGCCCGCCGAGTCACGGGGCCCACGAGACACTCAGAGACCTGAGCGAGCGCATCAGGCTGGTCGGAGCGAGCGGCGACGACATCCCGTGCCACGGCGAGCGCTTCGTCACGTACGCGAAGGACGGGCACAAGATCGGGGTGGACTACAAGGTCGCCGACGTCAAGAGGCCGGTGCTGGGCGTGTCGCAGGCGGTCGACAAGGGCACGTCGTGGGTGTTCACGCCGAGCGGGAGCTACATGATCCCGAAGCCGATCGAGTTCTCGGACCCAGACGCCGTGCCGCTGGTCAGGCGCAACGACTTGTTCTACCTCAAGATGGACAGGTACGGTGAAGGCGTCAAGAACTCGCTCGTCATGCCGGTGCGGGGCGAGGAGCCAGGAGGCGAGCCCGGCGGCGCATCAGCCGCGTCCAGGGCAGCGGCGAGGGCCGCGCTCCAGGGCGGCGGCGGCGGAGGGGCTGCCGCGACCCGCGCTCAGGCCGAGGCGAGCGAGCCGGCAGCGCAGGCAGTGCTCGAGGAGTCCGTGCCAGTCCGAGTCAAGAAGGATCCGGTGAAGCCAAGCCTGGCCGAGCAGAGGACGCACGAGCTGGTGCACATTCCGGCGAGGTCCTGGTGCTGGGTGTGCGTCAGATCCAAGTTCACGGACGACCCGCACTACAAGGCCGGGCACGAGCGCACGGGCGACGAGGTCCAGATCGACTACTACTTCCTGGGCCAGCTGAGCATCCTCAACATGGTGCACATGAACTCCCAAGCTATTCATGGCATCATGGGGCCGAAGGGTACCGACGCCTACATGGTCAAGACAGCGGTCGCCACCATTGAGAACTGGGGGCTGGATCGCATCGTGCTGAAGCACGACCAGGAGGCGTCGATCACGGCCCTGGCGAGGGAGATCAAGGCTCAGCGGAAGGCGCCCACGATGATCGAGTCAGCTCAGCGGGCTAACCATCAAGGAGTCGGTGGAGTGGAGCGCGCCAACGAGGAGCTCGGCAAGCAGATCAGGGCGCTGCTGTTCTCGGTGGGCGACAACTACAAGCGGGAGCTCCCAGCCGAGCATGGGCTTCTACCTTGGCTCATTCGGCACGCTGGCTGGCAGCTCAACCGCTTCACGGTGCACGGCAACGGCAAGACGACCTACGAGGTGCTCAAGGGGAGGCCGTATCGGGGCGAGCTCGTCAACTTCGCGGAGTGCGTTTGGGCGAAGGACCCCACGCCGACCTCCAAGCTGCAGCCTCGGTGGCACGCGGCGGTGTGGCTGGGCAAGACAGAGGTTTCGGACGAGCACCTGGTGGCGGGTCCAACGCGCACGACGAGGGTGCGCACGGTGAGACGGCGACCAGAGGGCGAGCGGTTCGTGCTGGAGGAGCTGGACAAGTTCGCTGGGGTGCCGTGGGACATGCACCGGGCTCCACAGATCGGCATCGTGCCGACGGGAGCGCCCCAGGTGGAGCCGAACCAGCAGCGGCTGATGCCGCCACCTCCACCACCGCCGGTGGCCTTACCGGCTGCGGGCCCGGAGGCGCTGGTGCCACCAGCGATGGTCGGGCCGGCGCCGCCCGCGGGGCCAGGAGGCGCAGGGCTGAGGTCGACGTACATCACGAGGGCGTTGATCGACAAGTACGGCTGGACCCCCATGTGCCCGAGGTGCGTCACAGGCATGGGATCGCACAGCGAGGAGTGCCGGAAGAGGATCGAGAACGAGCTGCGCAAGGAAGAGATGGCCAGGGCAGCGGCGGAGGCCGCGCCCTCGTCGGCAGCGGCGGGGGCTGCGCCGACGCCGGCGGCGGCGGGAGCCGCGCCGGGGCCAGCGGCTGGGGCTGGAGACGGCAGGCCAGGATCGTCCGGGGATGCCAGCATGGCGCCTCGCGACGACCAGGGCGAGGCGTCGGCGAAGAGGCCGCGCCAGACAGCGGCGATCACAGTCGGGTCGCTCGCAGTCGGGGCCTTCGTGGAGATCAATCCCTGCACGTACGAAGGCCTGGACCAGCAGTCCCACGAGGAGCTCGAGACGGTCACGGAGATCGAGAGCTGCGAGCCGCTGGAGATCGGGATGTTCGAGGTCAGCCCCGTCGAGCCGGCGGCGATCACGGTCCTGCCAGACACGGAGAAGCACGTGTACGACGCGAGGAGCGGGAAGGAGCTCCCCAGGGACCTGGTCAGGCGCGGGCGCGAGGCCGAGATCGAGGAGATGCGGCGACACGGCGTCTTCGAGGAGGTCCGCGTGGCCGAGAGCCGGGGCAAGGTGGTGCGTTTCAAGTGGGTCGAGGACCTGCGCACCAAGGACGGCAACCCCTTCGTCCGGTCCCGAGGCGTCGCCATGGAGATCAACACGTACGGCCGAGAGGACTGCAACGCGGGCACGCCGCCGATCGCCATCGTCAGGGCGATCGTCTCCTTGGCGGCGACGAAGAAGGGTCGGAGGCATCTCTCGGTGCATGACGTCCACGTGGCGTTCTTCCACGCCGACCTCGACGAGTGGATCGTCGTCATCCCGCCTCCAGGACTTAGGAGAGACGGGTACGTGTGGCAGCTCCGGAAGGCCATGTACGGCACGCGCAAGGCGGCCCAGGCCTGGCAGGAGTACGTGGCCGGGGTGTTCAAGAAGAACAACTGGACGCGCATCGCGGTGGCGGCGGGCGTGTACCACGAGCCTCTCTTGGACATGACCTCGGCGATCCACGGTGACGACATCTTGACCGAGGGCGAGGAGGAGTCCCTGGATGTCCTGGACCAGCAGCTGATGGCGAGCATGGACGTCAAGTGCATCGGTCGTGTCGGACCGGATGGCGTTCGCGAGCTCCCATACCTCAAGCGCAAGATCAGGTGGACGGGCAAGGGGTTCGTCTGGATCGGCGACACGAAGCACGTGACGAGGTGCGTGGAGCTGCTGGGCCTTACGGAGTGCAAGCCGGCGGACACGCCTGGGAGCAAGGCCACGGGCAAGAGCGTCCGGGAGGCGCTGGATCCACTTCCGCACGACGAGGCGAAGCTCTACCAGCAGGTCGCGGGGCTCGTCAACTACGTGGCGGTAGACAGGCCGGACATCCAGTTCGCGGTGAAGGTGATCCTCACGGACATGGGGAAGCCCACAGTCATCAGCATGCTTAGGCTGAGGCGGTGCGTGCGGTATCTCCACGGTCGGCGCGAGCTCGGGTGGTTCTACGAGAAGCAGGAGATGCCCAAGGCAGTTCTCTACGAGACGGACTCGGACTGGGCAGAGGATGAGATCACGAGGAAATCGACCAGCTCCGTGTACGGCTTCTTTGGCAGCCACCTCCTGGAGACCCAGGTGGCGTCGCAGCCCGTCGTCGCGCTCAGCAGCGGAGAGGCCGAGTTCTACGCCATCGGCCGAGGCGCGGCGAGTGCGATCATGATGCGGCAGTTCTACCAGCAGTGTGGCATCGAGGTCGCGTCGAAGGTTCACAGCGACTCGAATGCAGGCAGGGCGATCGCGACGCGGATCGGTAGTGGCAAAGTACGGCATCTACAGATACGAGACCTGTGGGTGCAGGAACGAGTCAGGCTCGGCGAGCTACAGCTCGGGCGAGTCGACACGGAGAGCAACAGGAGCGACTTGGGGACCAAGCATCTGGACGGCAAGCGGGTGCTCAAGTTGCTGGAGATGTCCAACCTGCGGCTTCTGACCAAGGGGCTCGCCGCGGGCGTGGGCGTCACTTTCACGGAGGCGGCCGAGCACGGAGACAAGCAGTGCTCCACGGCCGCTGACGACGAGGTCGAGTCGAACATCGGCTCGATCGTTCTCGCCATGATCGTGTTCATCATCGTGCTGGTGCTCGCGGTCAAGGGCGCAGTTGTGTGCACGAGAGGGGCGGTGCAGCTCTTCTCATCTAGGGCGGCGAGTGCTGCCCCACCAGCGGGAGCGGCGAGGGCTGCCCCGCAGGCCGACGGCACGGCGAGGCCCGAGGCGGCGTCGAAGGACGCGCCTGAGGGGCATGTCGTTTCTCGGGCAGCGGCGATAGCTGCGCCTGAGCGGGTCGCCGAAGGGCGAGACCTCGGTTCGGAGTACTTCGGGAAGATGCTGGCTGAGGCCACCGTGGCAGAGCTCAAGGAGGAGCTCAGGTGGCGGAAGCTGCCAGTGAGCGGCTTGAAGGCGGACCTCATCGTCCGTCTGTCGAGGGACGGCGGCCAGCACATGGCCAGCAGTGAGGGGCTGGCTGCAGCGGCGTGGGCCGCGCGGCTGGTTCCAGGCAGGGTGCCTATCCGAGCGTGTCGCTCGGATGCGAGTCTAGGCTCGCACCTAGGCGCGCTTCTCA